AAAAATAAGTAAGTAGGCATTATTTAAAATTAATTTTTTTTTTCGGGTTTAGCCAACGTGTAAGCTCTATTTATGCCCATTGAAGCTGAGATTAAAGAATTCCTCCAGAATTCTGTCGCTTTACAATGAATATTTGTCTTCAGATATGGGTACAAAGTTAATATGAAATTGCCAATCATCGGCTCATAGGTGTTTCCATAATTCTATTTTGTATCGTTGATGTGGACAACATATATCAGGTCCATTCACGTCCACGTAAGATAATTCCAACACATTTGAACAAATTACTAGTTTGCAACACGATCGCATTATATACCGTTGACGTGGACAACACTATTTTCAATTCTTAACTTTAGATACTTGACCTCGATTGTGACTTCTTATGTCAAGATGTCACATTTTAAATTTATCTCATTTTTAATAAAACATTGCATCAATTCAATCATGTTAATATTTGTGGTAAGACACACAAAAGCTAGTTTTTTTAAAAAGAATAAAAAAAAAAATTCTAAACCTTTTTGTGCTCCTAATTAGTGCTATTTATGTAAACTTCATTTTACATTTCAATTATTGCGATCAAAACTTAATAAGCTGGAGAAGTTAGACTTGATATAATGAAGTAAACTTTCATCAAGTATGATGGAATAAAATTTTATTATATTAAAAATATATAATACGAAATTAGAGGGAAAAATCAGTCTTTGAACTCTCTTCAAAGAGCCAAACTCCGTAAATTGCGGTGCAGAGTATTTTTTCTATGCAAGTTGTATTTTGTTCTCCTTGACCAAAATTTTCTCTCTTATTAGCAGGCTTCCTTTGAGGAGTCGTGCATAGTCATGAATACTCTTATACCCTGCACTTTTTCCATGGAAAATGAAAAATAATTTCCATTTCCAACAAAAAGCCTTGTTTGATAGGCACAAAATTCTTGGAAATTGATTTTCCACTCAAGGGTTTCACGCCCCATTTCCTACATTTTGAGGAATTTGATTTCCCACTACCCTGTTTGGTTCACATTGTTTTTTTCATTCCCATTCTTTTACTCATTTTCAACCACACATTTTCCAATAAAATAATATTTTTCATCACATCAATAATTTTTCCTTCCTTTTCAACCACACATTCTCCATCAATCTACTATTCCAGAATACATTCT